TTTTATGATGACGCCAGACCACCTCATATCAATACCATGAAGTATGTAGGTGACACGCCACTACGCATATTCATTCATCGATATTCTAGTGAATATCCACCAATATCCTACATGGTTTCAATATTTATCAGCTTATAATGCAAACATCATTAATTTTAAACTTTTTCTCTTAAAACACTCTCCAGGCAACAGGAATCTTGATTTTAAAAGTTAGTGTCATTAACAATATTTCATCCTATGTGTGTAGACAGATTCGCGTCATTTTATTTCTAACCGGGATTATTTGATAGAAAGATATATGTGCATTAAATTCATGATAATAAATAACATAGTCTTTGTTCTTAAATTCGTGCTTCTTTTATCGTTAAAATGACTATTAACATTCGTCCTTCGGGTGGTTTTAATCAACTAACACTTTCACTTTGGCGCGCACAAGATTTCGACGCGCACGCGCGCACAAACCTTATGCGCTGTGTGTGCGGCGTCTCAAATGCGTCATCGCGTTCTTTCACCGCGATTGGTTGGGTTTGGACGTGTGACATGCAAACGCACCCTGGGGAAAAAAATTGACAGTGGTTTTGCCAAGTGTGGAATCGGTCAAAGATGTCGCATTTAAAAGCAATCACGGAACTTGGCAGAAGTGTACTTAGTTTTAAGTGTGCGCATGATAATTTCTGAGCTGCAGATAACTCTTGAAAATGTTCTTGGTGGAACTTTAGAGCTGATTTTTATCTGCGTTCATTCAGCGCCTAGAAAAACTTTTAGATCGGACTTCGTTTGACTAAAACAAGCAACTAATCTCAATCCCTATTTGTAAATTTCGACTTAGACGAAACTGGCAAACTTTACGTGCATACGCTCTTCTTACAAGCACATCGACATGATATCGTCTTCCTGTTCTCAAGGCTTTATCACAGCTCTTAATTTGTCTATAATTGCTATACCAATTATTCTGGAGGCGGTTGGTTGCGTTGACGAGACGCCAGGAGTTCTCCAACAAGTCTACCTTCGTCAACGGTGTCTCAGGTATCGTAAGAGTTACAAACTGCATTCTAGGAAACAAGACTTTTTATACATTTGGTTTCGACGATCTGTTGACGTATCCAAACTCTGCCTGCGATCGATAATAGCATGACGCTTTGAGCGCCTGTCTCTGGTTTGTAAACTTGAACTGACAGAGCTAGACAGGTACTGCATACTCATTCTCCTTCAAAATCTTCTGAATCGATTCTGTAACGAGACAGATCATCTACTCAGCCTAACAACTTGGGAACACCGATCTGACTATGCAATCGTCTCGAGCAGAATCTTCTAGTGGCACTCCCAGCTATATGCGACGTAATCAAACATTGATTATGAATCGGTCTAATTTGGAGTTCACCTGTACCTTGATGCCAGCACAATGGAAAACTGTGGATCGAAATATCAAGTAATACCCGTTTCGAGTGTCCATCAGGATCAATCCGTCCCACAATTTTACCAAGGTGCACAGGCTAAGTTAGTCGGCCCATCCATTACATCGTATACCGGAGATGTCACCATCTACGCCAGTACCGATGGATGGCGGCAGTACACCGATGTCCTACCGGATGGACATATAGTTCCTTTACATCATTATCATCATCTTAGTAACACTCGGGCACTCACTCAATAGAGCACCAATTGGACTAATCATGACATCATCGGTTGCCTTGGCAGTCTGTTTTGCCACACAGACGACCCTTTGCTCCCTGCAAGACGTTAAGTCGAAAATGCGCTTTAAACCCAATGTCCAGCATTCTGCTAAACTCTAGCGTTGTAAGCCTAAAGGTACCCAATTTCTGGTGTCGAATACTTCCAGGCGAACGAAGTCCGTAGTCGAGTTTAAGAGTACCAATATCTTCCACCGCATATGAGCCGATTTCTCTACTGACTTCAACACAGTCCCAGAATAGCACCACCGTAATCTGCCAGGTCCAGAGAACCTATCAACATCCCTGGACGGTGACAGATGTTTTGCCAGTCTCGAAGTCGCTGAGATCTACCTCCAGATCGAAGTTGGTTCTTCCCACTGCTATGTTTCAGCATCCATGATGGCTTATTTCAGCATAACCGTTGACGACGTATAATATCCAACTATCTCCTAACTTCCCTCAAGTATCTGGCCTTAGGCGTGCTACTTCAGGCAACTATTCGGATTCTGGAGGAAGTCGCCCTAACGAAATTCTGACCATGTCTAGTGTCCGGAAGCAGCAATAGCATGGACACTCAAAGGACATGCTATGGTTAAGATCAGAGAGGGCGAGTACATCAAAACCAACGGGTCGGGAAACGCTTTTCAAGAAGTTTGACAGAGGAGGACCACTAAACAATAGTTAACAGAAAACTGGAAGATCGTCATATCGCTGACGATCCATTGCGGTTGTTCCATCGACGTCAATCCTTCCGTACTGTAGACGACTGTATCTGGCCAAGTGGGGCTTTCCAACCCACCTCCGACCTAATTCTACACACAGTTGTATATATTAAATGAAGTTCAGTTACCACCATTTTGCTAATGGCTTCCATTTCATCCTCATGTTGTACTCTCGATGCTGGCTAGTATCCAGGATACGTCCATGACACAAAGCCCCTGAATCCAGCACTCACGTTTCTTCAAAATAAGCATTTCTACAGAACTAAGTTTTTTCGATGTCTGAAGTCTGATTGATATTTTCAAAACGTTATATCGCCTTGAAAATCCCAAACAACTTATGTGCTGTTTCAAAAATTCATCCAACACTAATTCACGTCAAATCACTCGCTATAATTCAGTAGGCTACGCACCATCACCCACATTATGTCCCCAACTTGCAATCATTAACTATTTAACAGTCGGATCCTCAATATCCCAAGCGACATATATGCGACCGTTGCATGTCTTGAGAGTTCCTAATATTCTAATAATATGTAAACAAGAAAGAGCAGAATTAAATTAGTTGAACACGAGTATCTCCCGGCTTTGTGCATCTGCTCATCCATTGACAAAAAATTCCTTCCAGTTATCGTCCTTCAGTTGGTTTTAACCAACTAACACAGACGGCATGGCGCGCGCGCGCACCTAACTTTTCCGATACGCGCTATGAATGCGCCGGCGTAGTCTACACGTCACAAATGCGTCATCGTATGTTTGAATCCGGATTGGCTGAGGGCGGCCGTGTAGCATGGCCGAATTCGCCCAGGGGAAGAAATTGACTGTAATTTACCTGGAACTCCAATGGTGGATTTTGTCGCGCCTGAAAGCGTACTTAAAACCTGATACACATGAATTTGTGTTCACATGACAAATTCGCAGCCACGTCGAAATCTTAGCAGGGTGCATTCGTGGTGTTTTGGGCAAGTACTTTTACACCAAAACCCGTTTGCCCAAATGACCAATTTCGATAAAGATGCCGTTTTGGGGGCATTTTTTGGGTTTCTAAGTGTACGTTTCGCCCTGTGGTTCGAACAGCAAGAAAAGCAAGCTGACAAAATATTGCACTTCTAGCATTAACACACCGACAAATCCTATTGGTCTATCACTTCCCCCCTCCTGGATTTCAATTTTACCCAAATTTTTCTTAATTGCGCCTATTTGGAAGCCTATTCTCTGCTTTTACTAAGACCATCAATTTCTCGTGAATATGTATCTTACCTCACCAACTCGTTTTCCTATCGATCCACCGGTTCAGCTACTTCCATAAACTTCACTTATACAAAGATTTGGCACACCATATTTATACGCCACATACAGCCTATGTATGCGCCAGACTATACATACGTACTACTTCGAACACTGCACATTCCAAATTCAGATCAGACAATCCAGCTATAACGTCCCAAGCACCGGATCAGTACAATCCAAATGAGAGGGTTAAAAGGGAGTTATTATTAAATTACGCATGGTCGTACACAGTGATTGTTACGGTGCAATGCAGGCACATTCTCGTGGCAAATCGCATACGAGGTTGGTCACGAAAGTTCAGGCAAAATGTACACTCGAAATTCTGATCAACTGACGAGGTAGCCACGGCAATTCTTCGCACCGCACAAACACTTCATTTTGAGTCTCTAAAAGGTCAAAAAACAAAAAAATCTGAGAGCGTCTACAAAGCCGATACTCCCCAAACACCTAGTATTACCGATTTATCCCATTCTACGTGTAACACGGCACCTAGCGGGTTAATAGATTCACTCAATTAAGATTGATACCGTGGGCTAGATTAGGAACCTAGTTCTGACCAATGAGAATACACGAAAAAACAGATACGCAGATAGACCGGTGTCAAATAGGGGTATACCTTTGGTTCCTTGACCATGGACGTCTTACTACAAGAGGACACCTACAATAAAACCAGAAGAAGACAAGATTAAGATTCACAAGAAAGACTTTCTTGAATTTGGTAAGGGCTGAAAGGTGCTACATTTGTTCGACTTTAACCTGACCAATCAACTTTCATCACTGTGGGACTCACGGCCACTTTTTATTGGCTGTCACAAGCCTTAGGAGCGTGTGTGAGTGTGCTAATTACAAGTTATTTTGATAGATATTTGCGCACTTAGAAATGGTCAAAGCATCAGTTACTCTGTCCATTTAGCGGAAAACACCGCTAGCGAGATTCCGAATTTTGCCTAATTTTAACGAATGGGGATGATTGGTGGAGCCAGACGACCAAATCACTCGACCGTTAGCCGGGAAATCGACCGATCGGCTTTAGTCAAACTGCCTAACCTCAAATTAGCATGGCCGCATCAATGTTATTAGGTTGGTATTACGCATACATCGTGTCTGGCTGTCTCGTTTCACACATTTCGCCTGACGCAGATTCAACAACGACGATTCCGTCGCGGTGCTGGAAGCACAAGAGTGGCGTCGCTTCAGACCAGTAATATTGACTCGCTGTGGTGGAAAAAAGGAGTCGAAGTTAGCAAAGGGGTGCACATGCAGTCACTTAGTTCTTTCTCCTGAGCCGATGGTGACTTCAAGACTGGAAGTAACGCGTTCAAAGGGAGCCGACAGTCGCCGTGCTCCAGCGACGCAGCGCAAAAGCGCTGCCACGTACCTCACTGAAGTTGTCGGGTGGATCGGCTGAACTGCTACCTTCCGAGGGCAATTTGCTCCTGGACGAACCGGTGAGGGCCTTCGACGCGGCCTCGTCGGCTTCCAGTTGTCCGGAGGTGTTAAGACTGACCTCGGAAATGTCGCCGTTCTCGTCGTTGCTATCAAGGGCACCTAAACACCCACACAAGAAGCGTTTATCCACACTCGCTGCATACGATACCCGCTAGAGTAACTGGAGAGACGAATACACCAACATTCGTTGGCAGCACAGGAAGTAGACGAGAATAGTCGACACGACAGCGTGTTACACTCGGTCTTGGGCGCACGTGATCTACGCGGACACACAACTCACCGGTCATCTGATAATCGAAGGTGATTTCTTCGTTGCGGCTGATATTTCGAGACGCAAACAAGGCCAGTCGAGGCAGTTCAGTGTTCAGACACTCAATAAAGGTACAGCGCACTGTCAAATTTGGATTACACTAGATGAAAAGCAAGAAAGGACTAACAGTCACACGACCCAAAGGCAGTGGAGCAATCGAAATCGTCGCGTGGCCAGCAATAGCACAACGTGTAAAGTCTCGGTCGACGTTTAAAAGCGACCCGAAAAGGTTCGGAGTCACCTGCGACCCTACTTAGCGCACCCTTTGAACCCTATAATGAGGAAGATGGCAATTGGTGAGATTTACACTTTCAGGCTGGGAAACCGCGATTTCCACTCTACTCAACATTGACTTGGATTGAGCATCGAGTGGGACGCAACAGAGGTAAATTGACCAAGTTTTTGTTGGGTGTCGGTTTGCCATGTCTGAAACGGGCGATTGGAGGTTAGGCTTCGGAGAATGAACAAAAATTCGAGGCATGGAGATGGTTCGCTTTATTGACACTCTCTAGGAGTGAGCTTAAAGAAGATAATGAGAGTAAGGACAAACTCACACTGTGGTTGATAAAGTGCGAGACATTGCCCATTTGGAAGGCATCAACAGTGTAGTGAGTTTCGCCATCAAAATCTAGATCAAACAGGTAGGTCATGCGTTGCTTGTCGTACGACTGACCCCTTTGTTCTGCCTCCTCAAAAGTAATAATCTAAAATGGGAAAATAGAGGGCGAAGTAAAGGCGCCGAGTAGGGTGCAGACGTGACAAACACCGCCGCTTACTTCTCCGATATATTCGCACACAAAGGTGCCTTTTGGGATGCGCTCTGCGGCTTTGACACCCCAACCGCGGCCATTGGATGTCCGAAACACGGTGAGAGGGACTTTCCGACCAAGTTGGACAACCCGAAATGGGCATGTTGGTCCACATCCGCATCTGGAAGTGCAAGAATAACTCGGAAAATGACTTGCAAGGATTCTCCACTTAAATAATCTTACTTAAATCTTGAAGTTTCACGGAAACCAAGCAAAACAAAGCACCTTTGGTACTAGCACATTCAACTAATCACAATGACGCACGTGGAGTTGCATTCAAAAACCGGATGTCCAGGAGGAACAAGCAATTTCTTGGACAAATTGTAGGGAACACGTGCGCCAGAGTTAATGGCACAGCAACCACTGTGCCGATTAACCCAACAAAGCTCCGTCCCAGAACCGATTTTGGGCTTCAGGTTCTTGGCACATTGACAGCCGACAACTGCCTTGGTTGGAAGAAAGACGTCCTTGTGCGGAACATAGTCACGAATCGGTTGGAAGTCATTTGGAGGACCTACGAAAATAAACGTAGCTAGATTTCGAAAAAAGTGCTGCCGTGCATTAGGCAGCTTACATTCCAGATCAACTTTGTTCTCGACGTAAATAGGGGCTTCGTTTGAGTAAACGGTGTTAAGCATTGTTTGGAACTGATTGATGGCTTCACGTAGAGAAGCATGCGACTTGGCGGTCCAGCGGGGACGTTTACATGCATGAGGTCTTTCGCCTTGTACATAGCGGTTACTAGTAGACTTCGGGGCCCTGAAGCGATGGATAGTTGGGGGTTTCGGTTTAAGTCTTTCAAAAAATAATTGAAGCAATTTAGTTGGTGTGTAGTTAGATAAAACAGCTGCCTCTCTTATTCGATTCATCAAATCTTTTATTTGTTGAGATTTCGAAGCGTTATACTTATACTACAAATATGTTTTTGACAAATGCACAGAGGTTACCTTAACCATTGTAGAATTAAAGGGGTTTTTTGCTCTGAAGTCCTTAATCATTTCTTCACAGCCAGTCAAATTCTCTTCCGGTTCCCACGTGTTAAAGCTTGGAGGCCACCCTTCCCATTTAATCCAGAAATATACTCGGCCCTATTGCATTATGTGCTGTCAACAAAAGTACCTTATTAACGGATCTGCCAAGTATTGCCTCTACAATGAATTCAGAATCACTGGAAAATACCAAAACACCCTCCTGGTAGACTAAACAAATTAGAAGCAGTTATTAGCTTACTCTTTTCCAGTTCACTGTATATCTTAAATAGGGGTGTTTCCATCAGCATTTTCTCGAGAAGCATGAAAGCTGATTCATCAGAAATAGACACCTCCGTCGACGCTAATATATCAGTTGGATTTTTGCCAATATCAGTCTCAACTATTCTTGCCGGATTAAAAGTGAAATGCCGGATGTCCATCTGACTCAGATTGAACCAGCGGACTAACCAAGAGTACAAGAAGTACTTTGACTTTCGCGCGCAAACGAAGCCAATACATTCCAAGCACCAGCCAACTTAAACTCTCCTTTGTTGAGGTCGGAAAAAAAGATTGAAGTCTAGCATAAACAACAATAACTTTTAAAATCTAGCTAAACTGACAAAAAGACAACGTCTGGACAGTTAGCGACACAGGGTATGAAAAATTAATGCAAAAGGTTATAGGGTTAGCGTGGCAAAAAAGTATTAATTGATTTATATCATGAATATGATATTTTGTTTTTTAAGCCAGTACATTCAAGAAAAATAATGCTTTTAAACCTAGATTCGATGTTCAGTATCCCGATAACTTAATTATGCTTATAATACCTTCAACTGACAAATTAAATCTTTTAAAGACTTACTAGGAATAACAGGGATCAGAATATGGACTGTAGACAAAATTCAGCTGCACAAATATTGCTGCATCTAACTGCCACTTAGATGAATATCATAGTGTGTATTCAGGAGACAGAGATTTGAAAAGTAAAAGTGAGCATCATGCATGGCTTCGCTTATAGAATCCTAGCAGTTTTAATTTGTCATTCATAAAAATAGAATCGCCTAATGTTGTTATTAACTGCCGAAACATGACTGCGCGGCGGGTCCTTCAACAATTGTTGACACCAATGATGAACTCTTACCGACTTCTACAAGGTGGTTAATCTCGATCTTTTAAAGCTAGTTGGGCAGCATAAAAATTCTGCACTTTACTGCTTAGCGAAATTATAAACCATCAAGCCTTTCTAATCTTTTACGTGTTTCGGCATACAATCGTTCCTAATTAACTACGCTCGACTTCAGATCCGTAATCATTCCCTTTGTTCAACACTTTTTATTCGTCAGTACCAGCCTGGCTTTATTGCTCAGTTCATGACTGGCTTAACCAGGGTTCATCTCTGAGCCCAGTCAACCTATCTTAGACCTATTCTTTTGGCGCCACCTAATCTCTACGTGATTACTATCCGTTTCCATTGCCTCCTGCTGACGATAAGTCACCCTGAGTTAATCTTTTCACCATACATTAGCCACTATCTAGATCCCGACTCTCCCTCTGCTTCCTCGACCTTACTTCATTAATCGACTCTTGTTTTTATCAACCTAAAATCACCCTTCTACTCTCATCGGGCTCAAATTTCGACGCTTGCCTAGGGGGTCTTTCTGAACCACTATCGCCTTGTTCTTAACTCTTAACCATTTCCAAAAGATTCAAATTACGGCACTAGACAGGCATAACGCGATGGACCGTTCAGATAACATGCGAATAAAAAAGTTATCTCTACAGCAGCATGTCGTCTTAAAATTTTTTTGACTTCACACAATACCGCCAAGCCTTTCTGCCATCTTCTTCCCAATTCGAAATTTTAACGACAGCACGTTTTGGCTGCACGAAAGTCACTGCCCACCTTTTGGAAATTCTGTTAGAAGAGAGCTGTAGTGAATTGCCCTGCTTCACGTGCTGATTCTTTGCCCCACTAACCTTATTTTCACGGCGTTGCTACCGATAATGCGAAACCGTCTATACCCCTCCCTCGGTACTCGTTTCAATTATTTCGGCGTTTGTAACTTTATAGGCTCACACTGACCGTAGTGATCAACAACAGTCAAACGGTTGTGTCTCCGCCATCTCGTTTTGATGATCTTCGCAGGCATCAGTATAGAATTTATGGGCCGACTCAACAGTGACTGCAGTGTGGTTCGACACTTCATGCTGGAGCCTTTAACCGATGCAAATGTACGAAGCATGCAAATTAACGAATGCTAATGGGTTTGAGTGACTGTGGGCGACAAATATGGTGGGAGTCTGTGTGAAGGAGCCACTTACCACCGGGTTTACTTTATTTCCCTGTTGAAATTTAAATCAGTTACGAGAAACTCCGGCTTAGTAGCGACGGACGGATGAATAAAGCTTGATTTCAACAAATTTTTATTGTTTACCTGCATCAATAGGCTTTTTTAATGTTGTTTAAGACTTCTGCGAAAATTCTAATTTTTTTGCTAAAGGGCGAATTCTCGAAGGTCCTATGAAAGTTTTATGTGAGGTGGCTCAGATGCAAGAAATGGATCCCTTTTTAATCACCATCGAAAGGATTCCAGGTCATGCATAAAATAATTATTCACTCTCTGAAGACTTGTTGCAGAATTTTTTAAAAAAATTGATAAGCGTATTAAAATTGCAAAAAAATACATATTGTTGGTTTACAGCTCGTCCATAGATAATCCTGGCGTTCACTAATTGTGAGAATTTAGATCCGACGATCGAAGTAGACAAGGTGTGACATGGAAACCAAAGAAGACGATCTCGAACAAGTCTCATTAAGGCTAGACTGCCATAATCCTACCAATGGCAGTCACGTGAAGCATTTTGATCGTTCACAGGCGCACACACACTCCGTCTTTGTCAAAAACCTTTCCACCAATCCGGGAGATCGGTTTCATTGGCGACTATGCCCAATTCACCAGGACAGGTGAAATCGACCCAAAATACACAACTAGGTGTCTGCTTCGTCGCGCTAACTCATCATCTCCAGCTAGAATACTGACATTACGACGTTAACTCTCTTACGATAAGCTGGTAAACCGAACACTTCATTCGACTTAGAGTAGACTACGGGTAGCTGAATAAGACATGCGATATCTCAATAACGCTCATAATTACTCACGTATACTCGAGCACGCCTGCCTCATCACGTGACAACCACTCCACCCTCAGTGCCAAGCTCCAGTTACTTCAACTGTTTGCGTCTGTCCGCCTCGACTACCACTCTTAGCTTATCACTCACTAATCAAACGACAAATTGGTTCGACCTTAAAGTTAACGCAGCTCTTTCACGCACAAACACACAGAAACTGTTACTAGGTTGTGTAAACAAATTTGTTCACTTTTACGCAGTTACGGATCTAACCACGGCACTCAAGACAAGTGAGATGGTCGTATGCTGATTAGTGATTGCACACAAACACCACTGGTGTATAAATGGGATGGAAATGTCACACCATTCCAACATTACTTTGTCATTAGCACATTCAATTTAACTGCGTTAAGCTGTCTATAAATCCTAACAAACTACGAAATTCGTAAATTCAAAATTGCGGAGTTCAGCCATGTCTTTTCTTCAAATAGCCCGAGTCTTAACCTAAGTTTTTTTAACAAGTACACAGCTTACTCCCCACACATGCTCGACATTTCACGTATTCACTCAGTTGAAGGCTGCTGAGGAATTAGGCAACTTATTTCGCAAATTTCAAGCATGCCGTGGGGAACGCATTTATGGCCGTGAACTATGACATTCTACACCAGTTACCCTGCCCTCTCTCACGTTATATCCACAGCTGTGTAATCAATCGGCCGCATTCTTCATATTTATGCTCGTAGCTGAGTCCGACATAAATGCCTCAACAGTACTTAGCCGCAACTATAACCTTTGCTGCAATCCTTGGCGTACCAGAGCTTTAAAGAATCTAATTGGATCCTGATGTGATTCGAGTTGAATCCGGGCGCTCCATTCCCTTTTCACAGCATGTTACCAGTCAAGTGCGAGCCTCAGCACACATACACACCGAATTAGCGCGGATGTTGATCCTGGACTATCACCACGGTTGATAACTATCGACCGAGTCTCGAAACTAGCACATCTCTGACACAAGCTATTTCACACTTCTGGGCTGTAAACTCACGCTCAAACGCCACACACAACATTTGATTGAACTATCTAGTGGACAGTTGTGTCTCCGTTGTCCCCACTTTTTCGCGGGTATCAGGGTAGCGTTTTCGGGTTAACTTCAACTCAGTGGCCCAGAACAGACTCCTCTGGAGTCTCTAAACAGTTCTATCTGTGCATTATCAGGTGCGAGGAGACCAATATATCTTCTTCCGCAATGAAAGGCGAAATTTGCGTTTTGAGACTCGATTAAGCGTCAACGTCCTTTTCCTAATCTAAAGAACAGAACTACTGGAAAGGCTAGTCAGGCATGACTATCGGCATAAAACGACTAACTTAAACTGCATCGAGAGCTTTGAGGAGCCCTAAAACTTTCATAGTGGTTTTGTCATAGGCGAAATAGTTTGCCAAGAGCTTAGATTTGACAAAAACTGCAGGAGGCGATTAACGTAATGGACGCCTTATGCGAGTGGGAAAGTTAATTGCCCCAGGTCCAAGTGAAGGTAAAAAATAAACCACCGTTAGAGGCAACTGGTAGGGCCTTATTACGAAAGAAAACAAATTATTGAATTATATTAAACCTAAATGACATCGAAAGCTTGTATTTCCTGTACAAATCGCAACTTATTCCTGGTTATCAGACACGTTTACAATATGAGAACGAAGTAACGTGTAACGTCAGTTTCGATCTGAGTAGTTCGAATAGCTGACAATGCATACAAGAATTACTTAACTGCATTTAACTGATTCCTCATCTGTTCTAACTCTTTTCTCAAGGCATGGGAGCGATTCGCATATCTTGATGTTACAAAAAAAAACAAGACGAGTGAAAAACTAAGGTCCATTTATACAGATACCCACCTATTCACAAATACACGCTACGTTATGTGAAAAATAATGATCAAAAATTAATGAAAGTTCACCGGTCCTAGGATTCTTTAACAGCTGGAGCTTTGCACAGCAGGTAGACAACAATAACGAGACCGAGAGTAATGACTCCGAGAGTTGGCAAAACCACTTTAAATACCTGCTCGTTGATGGTCTCTTTATCCCTTCGTTTTTCCAGCTTGTCCTTCTTTGTTTCTTTGGTAGTGCCGCCCCGCAACTTCCTCATGGTAGTAGCCACGTCAACCACAGCCAACAGAGACCTAAAGTGCCGCCAGCTTATCAGTCAATATAATGGCACTCGGTTAGCCAATGATAACGTCGAACGTTTAATCAAGACATTTTATGATATGATTGTTTCCCTTACAATACGTTGCATCCAAAAACTATTTTTGACAACGTTTTAATTTGTTTTCACAACTTGCATTCAAAAAAAATTTGAGGGGAACAGTATTTTAGCAAAGCAAGACTTAGGAAAATATTTTCGTCATTTGAATCAATCTGATAAATTGACACATTTCCCTGAGGCATTTAATTTATATTTTCTAACTTTTCACTTAATTATTGTTTCCCGTTCTTGTCTCGAGAGTGATCGCGTTTGGTGGACAACGAGAGACATATTACAATGATTTTTTCTTGATTTTGTGTTATTATTAAATTGCAACAATTTCATTAGTAGGTCATGCTCAAAACGACTGTAAGTACACAAATGCATACACAATCACATTAAATTTTTCTCTATTATATAGGAAATTTTCAAATAATGAAACGAATCATCCAGAAATTTCTTCTATTAAAGTGTTAATCGTAAGCATTTTGCCACTATAAATATAAGTGATTATTCTTTTTGGGTTAACTGTAATACGCGCTAGCCAATGCGAGATTTTGTACTTGTTGTAGCAATTTGTCATCTAGGGCTATCAGATCTGTCTGATAATTATTTTTTACTACAATTTTTTAAATTTTTATTCCAGGACTATTCATTTTCTTTTTTAGTGGTTATTAATCGCAATTAATTCCACGATTCTCACACACTTTTCAAAATGAAACTGATGAAAGAATGCATGTAACCGCTGATATTTTTCATACACTAACAGCTCTACTAGAATAAGAACAAAATATTAGGCATTATGCTTGAAATGTTTTAAAAATCATATCAAGTATAAATATTGATGCTAAATTCGCAAACCTAAAACATTTCCGTAAAAGGCCATGGTAGTTTAATTTTTGGCTAGGTCATCAAAAATCAGGCATCTCTATTGACGAAACACACTGAGAATGTCCTCACTTCCGCATTTTGATTTGAACTAAATGTCCGTACACATTCTATAGGTATTAAGTGCGCTGTAAAGCTATTTTCTGCAATTAAAACTTTATTATAACAAGTAACCCCTTCCATCTATTATTCTGGATTTAAACAAAAGCAATATCCCCAGATGTCCGAAATTTCGTTAACTCCAATTTATCCAGCTTCAAAAATGCATATATTTGCGATTTTAATTTCTTCATGATATTTGTTTTAACTTTATTGGTTATGTTGGAAAATTTGTAAAAAAAAGTTGTAGCGAACCGGGATCTCCAACAAATTTTAACTTTTTGTTGACATGTCCACTTTGCGCTAATAGTTTGATGTACAATGGAAAGGATTGAACCAACTGCGTAAATGTCTGCCGTGATTTTCATTCAAAAGCAAAAATTTTCAGACGGATAATAGCAGCATTTATGTACTTCAGACATTACATAAAATAATTCTTGAGGAATGAAAAGTTAAAAACATCGATTATTTAAAGCAAATTGGTCAAATATAAAAGCCTATTAGTTGGCGAAGTAGGCTTTTTATTCAGGCAGGTTAAAATTTAGGACATGTGACATTTTTTTATTAAGGCCGATGCAGATGTGCTCTCATTCAGTGCACTAGTGAATAATGTATTTGCAAATTAGAACGTTATCAATTCAGCTATAAAATCCTTTACAGGCAAGTGAATGAAAAGCAAATCTAAAGGTACATTATAGACATTGTCAATTTAAATTGATCATCGTATACTTTTGACCACAGGACATTAAAAACTGGCTGCTAATAACCTAATATTTGGCTTTCTTACTTGGCATTAAGGACGCGTAACAGCCATGAACATTTCTCAGCAGGCTATGATACCAATAACCTCCTTTTCAATTTAAACCTTTATAGAACAGCCCGATCTCTAAAATCTAGAATTAGCTTGACAAATAAACAGGCTGTTCCTAATTCGATTTCCGCTTGCACTTCACATTTTTGTGGCAGCGAGTACCCACTAGTGGCAGCGTGTAATACTAGTGTTTCAAACCCCAACCCACTCTTGCCGTCGGCTGTTCGTCTATTTCAAGCCTCAAAATTACTCCCCGATCTGACCTTAAGATCAATTTCAAGCACCAGCATGCCTTTGTCAAACTCCAACTTCTATGCTTAAAACAGGTATCTCTAATATACATGCTCATAGCGCTCTCTCGAACTCATGGAGAGCCTCTCGTCCAAGATCTTCCTTGATTTCTTTTTCAAGGCTATCGTAGAGGTAATCCAGCGCCTGTTTTGCTTGCAGCGATAACCAGCCGGAATTTGACTCGAATTTTTTCGACAATGCCAGGCTCTTGGAGAGTCTTTAGGGGTGCAGAGTTTCCCAACTGGTCCGTAATGTGTATCCACCGGACGGAGCAGATGCATTGCTGGTGAAACGCATAGGGGTAGGCATCCGAGATCATACCGTGATACAATACATTGATGGCGAGGTCCTTTACACGTCGGACGAACTCCCCGCCGTCTCTGAACCAATCAGGTTTCGGCGCTGCACTTGCACATCTACATATGCACCTCCTAGCCCCTCGTGACCCTACTCCGCTACACCCAGTGTTTTCCTTAGGTTTTACTACACTGCTCTCTGTTCCCTACGATAAACTTGACCCAGTAACCTTTATGCCTGCAGCCTACAGACATCTGTCAACCTATGATGTCGCATAGAGAGCAAACTCAACTATAATGCGGCTCGACGTCGCGGAAACAACAAACATCCACACTTCTGATATGGCGTTACTCTAAATTAGCTCTATCCTCTTGGCATAATCCCATCCCTTTGCAATCCAAGGAAAAACTTGATTTCCACCAAAGTGGGACAGAAGTATTTGTGAGCAATTTAAGGTTGCTCGCAATTGCGATCCTCCCAGTGTCGAACCCTTCCGCCCCTCGTGTCGTCACGATAACCGATTCGTCCTTGATCACCAAGGTGTTCTGTCACGAATTGAACATCTCTTTGGACTGTAGCTTGAAAGTAGTTCTAGACTAAGACTTTCTTGGCACACACAAGTGAGCTATCGAGTGCACTACGGGCCTCGTCAAGCTCGCAAGATTGGCGTTTTCTTTTCTCCCAGTCAACAATGACGCCACTAGCACTCACAGAAACCTCATATTGATCGTTGACAGCCTACCCCGAAATATCATACAGGACAGCTGTAACCTCCTGCAATAACTATTATAAAGGCTGGGTCAGGACATCAGAGGAAAGAACATTATCCAGCTCATCGGCAACGAATCCCAATGCACCACCATGCCGATCTGGACAAGATCTTAGACGACCTCCTACGGCAAGGTATCATCGCCCTATTCTCCTGCACATGGGGGGCATTAGTCAGTCTCGTCAAGAAGAATGACTACCAGAAGTCCAACTTGGCATCAGCCCGAGCCTCCTTTTCTCTTCTCTGCTTGAATAATCTCCTTAACGCTCTTGCCGGACAAAATATTCCTTCAAACGGGACGGTCCCAGTGGCTAATAGCAAAATGAGGTAGACCAAAAGACCGGAAAAAGACAGCCTTGCTTCTTTTTAAAGGAAATTCGCCCGAGTCATGCTCAAGTTGCTACACGGGCTCCCCTAGTAGTAATGCTTAGTCTACCTAGACGACGTCATCGTGTTTGTCTCAAACAATAATGATTTGCTTGATAATTCTGCAGAAACCCTCAAGAGGTATCTCAAAGCGGGATTGACGATAAATCAAAAAATATTACTTTTCACAGAAGTCATTTAAATTCATCGGTCAGATAGTATCAGAATCCAGACTCTAAAAAATTTTAAAGCAGTTAACAGAAAAAAGTGTGACTATTTCTGTTCTTGAATGGCTATTATCGTTCGTTTGTGACCCCGACGCAGAACCTTAGACTGGACGACAGAGAACGGGGTGGCTTTCGTATAGCCACTGCAGGCACTGATCTTATCCCAACCTGTACCCCGACGTCCGTCCACTCATCACTGCAGTTCTCTTTTGCCTGGGTAACTGTGATTTTTAGCCAGAATCCCGGACGGAAAAGAAATAAGTCAATATAAACACACCTCTGGTCTCCCGGCGTCGGAGCCATTACTGGACATTATAAGAAAATTCAAGTGGAAGGTTTAAATAGAGCCCTAATCTATGACCAAAGTCTGCATGGCCAAGGAAATGGGGGACCGAATGCAAAGAGCAACCTTCTCCTTCGCGGCGATGTTTTCCACGGCTCTAACTCCTTTATCCCCAATTGGCGATACGCGCCGTACCTACGAATCTATGCAACCAGCTGGATCATGCTGGATAGGGTAAATTAGACAAGACGGCGCGTCAACGACGATGGTCGTTGGATGCAAGACACAAGATCCGCCTCGTCTACACCTTCTGTCTATCGCGCATCCCGCTTAAGGCTACTTCAATCAGTATTTGGGCAGAGTCAACGTGTTCCCATTCCATAATCACGCCAGGGAAGGATATCCCTATTGGTCGCATCCGATTTCTATTGCAGGTAACATATACCAGGACCGCTTCACAACCAATAAAATAGGATTGTAGATGACGCTGCCATGTCCTGCTGTGTCTCTTAAAGTTCTACTCAACTACACAAGCTGACAGGTACAACTTGATCCAATGCCTTTGAATTAACCTTCATTAATACTACCTAGCCCGGCAATGCGTTTCGCTCATTCGCTTTCATAGGGCAAAATGTTCAGGCTTTATTTAAAAAGTTTAGAAGCAAACGACAATTCATCCACTAACTGTGCGTTAGGACTAAATGTTTTGCATCACAATTGATGAGATTTAAGGTCATTGTGATTCGTAGTTCGTGATAATATCACTGAGGCTTTTCATTTTCAGATGCAGCAAATCTTACAATTCAAAGCCTAAGGATGGAAGGTAAAAATTCCTCAGAGCAAAATGCCCGATTTTTGAGTTTGTAAAAT